GATCATCATGATTATATCAAAGGTCTCTGTTTTAGCATGATGTTAATGAAGAAAAGAACATGAAATTGTTCATAAAAATTATTCAATTATACAGATTATCTACTGGAATAGAAATTAGGTAACTGAACATTGGAACTCATCAATTATAGCATGTTGCAATATGCTCTTACATTATTTTGCCGAAAATTAGAAACAATTGAGTAGATTTCTTTATTGCCAAATCATTCTGCTTTTCCCGAAAGTTCTTGCGATATCCCCAAAGATCTTTATATAGCTACATAAATAAATATTTTAACTCTTTAGAGAAGTTATATATATATTTCTAAAGCAGAAAGAAATGTTACGATATACCTTTAAAATAACCTATATTAGAATTCACTATCAACATTTTATAAATTGATTTTAGAAACAAAAAGAACTCACAGAAAAGAAAATACTAGACAAGAAGAATAAATGACTCTGATAATTTGGTGAATTTTAGTTTCACAGTGGTAACCTATATCAGTATACAAACCCATTATAGATAAAAGAGCTCTTCCCATGCAAGAAGACTGTCTCTTTAGCTGCAATATGTCTTTCCCTGTCATCCAACACTTGTAGGTCAGTGGAGAATATTTAGCTTTCACTTTTTGTCATCTTAATAAAAATAGTGACATCATAAAACAGAAAGATGCTCATTTTGCAATTGACAGCCCATGTATTTCAGAGCATCTCACCACAATGAAATGCCTTGGATCCTTCCTTCCCACTATTAGTTGGAATAGGGTTGGACCTTAATGTACACAGTGTGTGTGCAAATGATTTCTCTGCAGTATGTGATGCTGTTTGATAGCATTTTACCCACAGTAGAACTTCCTACAAAGTTGGAGTCAGTCCTCTCAAACTCTGCCGCTGCTTTATCATGTCAGTTTATGTCATACTCTAAATCCTTTGTTGTCATTTCAACAGCCTTCACAGCATCTTCCCCAGGAGTAGCTCCATCTCAAGAAACCACTTTCTTTACTCATCCATAAGAAGCAACTCCTCATCCATTCAAGTTTTATCATGAGATGGCAGCAATTCAGTCACATCTTCAGGCTCCACTTCTAATTCTAGTTCTCTTGCTGTTTCCCCCGCATCTGCACCTACTTCCTCCCCTGGAGTCTTGGACCCCTCAAAGTCATCCATGAGGGTTGGAATCAACTTTTATCCAAACTCCTGTTGATGCTGTTATTTTGACCTCTTCCCATGAATCATGAATGTTATTAATGGCACCTAGAATGGTGAACCCTTTCCAGAAAGTTCTCAATGTGTTTTGTCCAGATCCATCAGAGGAATCACTATCTGTGGCAGCTATAGCCCTACAAAATGTATTTGTTAAATAATAAGACTTGAAAGTTGAAAGTACTTCTTGATCCATGGGCTGCACAATGGATGTTGTGCTAGTAGGCATGAAAACAATATTAATCTCATCATATGTCTCCATCAGAGCTCTTAGATGAGTAGGTGCATTGTCAGTGAGCAGTGATACTTTGAAAGAAATATTTTTTTCTGAGCCGTAGGTCTCAACAGGAAGCTTAGAATATTTTGTAAACCATGTTGTAAACAGATGTGCTGTCATCCAGGCTTTGTTGTTCCATTTATGGAGCACAGGCAGAGTAGGTTTAGCATAATTCTTAAAGGCCCTGGGATTTTCAGAATGGGAAATGAGCACTGGCTTCAACTTCAAGTCACCAGCTGCATTAGCCCCTAAAAAGAAGGTCAGCCTGTCCTTTGAGAATTTGAAGCCAGGCATTGACTTCTTTTTGGCTGTGAAAATCCAGGATGCTATCTTCTTCCAATAGAAGGCTATTTTGTCTATATTGAAAATCTGTTGTTTAGTGTAGCCACCTTCATGAATTATGTGAGCTAGGTCTTCTGGATAACTTGCTGCAGCTTCTACATCAGTACCTGCTGTTTCACCTTATACTTTTATGTTATGGAGATGGCTTATTTCCTTAAACCTCATGAACCAACCTCTGCTAGCTTCCAACTTTTCTTCTGCAGCTTCCCCACTTCTCTTGGGTTTCATAGAATTGAAGAGTTAGGGCCTTGCTCTGGATTAGGCTTTGGCTTAAGGGAATATTGTTGCTGGTTTGATCTTCTATCCAGACCACTCAGACTTTCTCCAAATCAGCAATAAGGCTGTTTTGCTTTCTTATCATTTGAGTTTTCACGGGAGTAGCACTTTTAATTTCCTTCAAGAACCCGTGCTTTGCATTCACAACTTGGCCAACTGTTTGGTGCAAGAGACCTAGCTTTTGGCCCATCTCAGCTTTTGACATGCCTTCCTCTTGAGGCTTAATCATTTCTAGCTTTTGATTTAAAGTGAGAGACGTACAGACTCTTCCTTCCACTTGAACACTAGAGGTCATTGCAGGGTTATTAACTGGCCTGATTTCAATGTTGTTGTGTCTCAGGGAATAGGGAGCCCCGAGGAGAGGGAGAGAGATGGGGCAATGGCTGGTTGGTGGAGCAGTCAGAACACACATATTAAGTTCTTCATCTTACATGGGTGTGGTTCGTGGTACTCCAAAACGCTGACAGTAGTAACATCAGAGATCATGGACCACAGATCACCACAACAAATACGATAATCATGAAAAAGTCTGTAATATTGTGAGAATTTCCAAAATGCAACACAAACATGGAATGAGCAAATGCTGTGGGAAAAATGGCATCAGTAGACGTGCTCAACACAGGGTTGTCACAAACTCTCAATCTATAAAAAACACATCTGGGAAGTACAATAAAGTGAAGTGCAATAAAACGAAGTATGCCTGTACAAGGTAAATACCTTCTTCAACCCATGATCATCATCTTCATCATGATTACCAGCATCTTCAAATGATTTGGAGAAAAAGACTGCACAGTGAGATTTCCAACTTCGCAGGTGATAATAAAGAACTAAATAGATGGGAATAGACCATAGGAAAAGGGAAGAAAAGTGACAGGTGAATTTTCATTCAGGCAAGTACAGAATAAAACATTGGGCGGGGAGGGGGAAGACTGAGAAAGCAGGAGGAGCCAGTGGAGAGGGCGCCCTGAGAACAGAGCCCAAGGCAGCTGCTAAGCCGAGTCCCTTGGGTCAGTCTGTGCCAGGAGAATGCTGGATTCAGTGAATGTCATCTGGCAGGAAAGTCTTGGGCTTCATTTTGAAGTGAGCCTTCCCACTTCCCACTGCCTCTTACCCTTTCTTTCTGTTTCGCTCCTTCTCTGATTTCCCTTATGGCTATGGCTCTAGAGTAGACAATTGTTAGAATAGAAATATTGCCATTGTATCTCTCAAAGAGGTCATTGTATCCTAACACTCCAATTAATTCAGGAGAGCGAGGGAGATAGGAGCCGCTGGAGCCAAGAGGGGAACTGAGTGGGCTGGAGCTGAGATGGACCTAATTGAGTGGAAGGAGAAAGCAAAATAGGGTGATTGAAAGCTGAATGCCCTGTGGGCAACTTGTGTTCTATCTTTCATTCATTTAGTTCAGGCCCTACTTTTTGCCCTGAACAAATTCTTTCAGGTTTCTTTTCCAAATGGAGTTAAATAGCCAAATTAATTCCCCAGTGCAGGATTTTCTTTTCACGGTCTCTGTATGAGCCAACAAGTCCACATCTGATAGTTTGAGATAAGCCAGAGAAAAACTTCTGGGTCTGGGGGTGGTCATGAAGCTCTTCACATCAGAGGGTGTACTTTGAAGGGTGGTGAGGATTTGAGCAGACTGGTAGAAAAAAAACAAGGGTGTTTCAGGGCTATCCAACCAAGGAAGGAGGCTAGAGAGGGCAGGAGCCAACTCTCAGGGTCGGCGAGTAACCGGCTGACTGGTTTCTGAAACAGAACATGAGATGAGGCTGGAAAGTTAGGTTTGCTCATGAACAGTAGGTAAGCTTCAGGTTTGAAAACAAAGCTTTTTCTTAAAAAAAAAAAAAGTGCCCTTGCTGTGTGCCAGCCTTGTACCCAGAAAGAAGGTAGAGAGGAAGAAGGCAACGAAAGAACATTTTTTGATGAAACAGAAAATAGGAAAGAAAATAAACTCCAGCAAATATTAGAAACACACAAATCAGACTATTTCAAGGATCTGCACATCGCTTCTTGGGGGTAATGGGAAGAACGAGTCAGAGAGAAAAGAGAGTAGACTCCAGGAAGACGGCCTTAGGAGTCAGGCTGGTCTGCTGAGTAGCCCCTCGAAAGTCCCATTCTTTGGGCTTCATAACAGACAAGGGCCCTCAGCCTAATGATGTCAAGGTGGTGAGGGTGGAGGAGGGTAGGGAAGGGGAGAGGAAAGAATACAGAAACACCAGATTCAGAATGCTAGACATATTTCGCATTTGGTAGATTCAGATTCCCAAGATACCGGATCTCTGAGGCTCACTCTCCCAATTGAAGCAGCTCAACTTTGCTCTGCTTCTCCTCACCAGGACTCTCAACACTATCCACTCCATAGACTCCTGCCTTCGGACCCCTGGCAATCTCCACCCTTCCTGCCTCTCTAGATCATTGGGGGGTGGGGAGGTGTGGAACAGGATGGAATATGCAAAAACTTCATGAACTGGGGCGCCTGGGTGGCTCAGTTGGTTAAGCGACTGCCTTCGGCTCAGGTCATGATCCCAGGGTCCTGGGATCGAGTCCCACATCGGGCTCCCTGCTCCGCGGGAAGCCTGCTTCTCCCTCTCCCACTCCCCCTGCTTGTGTTCCCTCTCTCGCTGTGTCTCTCTCTGTCAAATAAATAAATAAATAAATAAATCTTTAAAAAAAAAAAAACAAAAAAAACTTCATGAACTGTAACTTGCACAGCATTTGTTGCTGCTGTAGACATAGAAACACCTGGAGAATGCTGTGACCGACGTGCACTGGGGCTTAACTGTAGTTTAGGAGTCCAACCACTGCAAAGCGGAGACGGATCCAAGGTTAGGGTTAGTTAGTAAGGCTTCATTCTCGCACTCTCTCGTGGACCTGCGAGCCGGTACCGACCGTCGTTCCCTTACAGGTGACGGCAGAGCTGGACGCCTGGAATGAGGACTTGCTCCGGCAGATGAATGACTTCAACACGGAGGATCTGACCCTGGCCGAGCAGCGGCTGCAGCGCCACACGGAGCGGAAGCTAGCCATGAACAACATGACGTTCGAGGTCATCCAGCAGGGCCAGGATCTGCACCAGTACATCATGGAGGTCCAGGCCTCAGGTGGGTGAGCTCTCCCGTCCTCCTCCTTCTGGCAGGGAGGTGATGAAAGCAAGCAGGCCAGCCTGATTCCAGCCAGCATGTGCACTCTGCTCATCCACTTCATTCCCACAGATACGGGAACAGAGGTTTTTGCCATTTTAAAGAAAACTGATGCATGAGAGCCGAAATAGCTCGTCCAAGATTGCCCAGTTAGGTTCTGGTAAAGAGGAGGATAGGGCCAGGATCTCCTGGCTCCTGGTGCTATGCAGAGAATGGGGAAAACAAAAAATGGAAATTTGCACAGATTGGGAAAAAACGGGGGCCTGCAGAAACAAACCAGGTGGGCTCCGAAAGCAGCCAGCCAGCCATGTGAATTGTATTCTAATGTGTAGATGTTTGCTGTTCACCCCCCAGGCCCCCTCTCCTGGTCTCTGGCTCAGGCCTCTCAGAGAGCCCAGTTGTTGTTTTTTTTAATCACTGGTCTGTGTGTGAGTGTTAGAAGTGCTGATAAAAATTTATGGCAAGGTCATATAATTTTATAACTTCTCGAGAAACCGTGGCTGAGTTACCCAGATTTCACTTCTTTTTGTGTTCGAGCTTTATTCACTGTCTATCCAGCAAATGCATGAACCCTTCCTGTGACACCCACCGCTCTGCCAAACGGCCTTTGGTGTTGGAACCAGAGGGAGCCACGGCATTCCCACGGTCAACTAGTCCAGTGGACAAGAAGTCACTCACAGAGGCACATGCAAGTAGAGTGCTGGAACACAGTCTCTGCACCCAACCCCACCGTTGGCCTCCCCTCCCCCTAGGTCCTCCTTGGCTCCTGTTCCTCACCCTCCAGGAAGAGGCAGACGGGGGTTCAGGCCATTAACTCTTGAAGACACAGTAGGTCCATGTCCCTGTTGACCAAGAAGGATGTTTAGAATCATGAGATTGTCAGGCAGACGTTAGCCCTCAAACTTGACTGTAGGGAACTGTGTTTGTTTTAAGGACCTGAAAGAATAAATAACAGCATTCAAAGAGACTTCACTTCTAACCAGAGGAAAGACAGTCTGGTAAATTCTGTTCGCTCGTGAATTTTCGTTTGTGTTGTGAACAGCTGCAGCTGCCCAGGCTTGTTTACACAGTGCAGACCGTACCCCACATCGCCCCAGGAAGGGCCATTCACATTGCAGTCTCTCGGGGGCAAGGGTGGGGGGTTCTTTTAAAAAATGGCAGTGCCAGGCCCTAAGCCTGGAGGTCCTGATTTAACTACCTCTGAATGGGACTTGGGCATCAGCAAAAAAACCTTCTCAGGTGATCCACTGTGCAGCCAGGGCTGAGAAGCACAGGAAGGTTTAAGGGCCCATTGAACCTGCCACCTCAGAATCTCTTGGGGTGGGGCCCAACAATGGGTGTCTCACCAAGCCCTCCAGGGGTGCTGATGCACCATGAATCTAGGACCTACTCAAAGTGTGGGCCCTGGACCAGCAGCACCAGCGTCACTTAAGAGCTGATTAGAAACATAGACTCCCAGCCCTTATCCCAGACTTAGAAATCTGAATCTGTATGTTAACAAAATCTCCAGGGAAATCATGTGCCTGTTGAGATACACGCTTGGCAATGGCTTGTACATCTTCAAGGTGTTATTAGGGAAGGAGGGGGAAAAGTATACCTTTCTCTGCAGTTGAGAACCTTACCTGGACTCAGGTTTCATGTTAGAGCTTCCCCTCATGGTGCTCACAATAGCTGGCAATCCAGCTAAGGCTGGGAACCATGAGAGGATGCGTAGGACCTAAGAGAGAGGCTGGGACCGAGAGGCCTTGCAGGGCTGTCACCCTTCGTCCCTCAGTATTGATGCATCTGGCAGGAGGGAAGCTGGTCTGCCTCGAAACCGCGGTACTTTGTACTGGGATGCTGGCGTGACCTGGGCAAGTCCCTCTCTGTCCCAAGAGCCAGGTATCCATGGTAGCAGAAAGCCGACCAGGAGTTGGCAGCCCCTGCAGATGGCCTGTGACTGTGGGTTAGCTGTGCTTGGCAGCCTCCTGAACCTTGAGGGCTGAGTGGGTGAAAACACCTAGGGCAGATGGGCTGCCCACACCCACAGTATCCTGATCTAGAAATGAGTTTTGTGAAAAGAGGCTTGATTGGCCTCTTCAGCCCTGTCTGCTGGGACTGGCTGTTCCCCTGCTCCTACCACAGCTAGCTGTTCAGTCTGGCATCGTCCAGGAGGCTTCAAAGGCTTCCAAGGGAATGAATCCAGGGATTTCAGGGAAGCTCACTTCCTGTCTACTGCTGAATGCCGGGTCCTGCAGAGGATGCATCTACCTCGTCTCTGGCTCGGAGGAAGGGAGAGCAGGGTTGTGCTGGAGCTGGGGGGTTGGGGTGGAGGTTGGGGGTGGACCCAGGGTGGGTCTTGCCCCCAAGTGATTGAGGAATGCAGGACTTCAGAGACCCCGGACTGAGGCAATAAATGTCTTCATCATTGGTGATGTGTGTCTAATAAACTATATTTGAACTCAAGGTAAAATAAACTCTTGTCTTAGAAAAAAGACAATTAACAAAATTAAGCTCTTGGTTGGTGTTTAGCCGTCCATGCTAACTTAATGAAGGGCTTATGCTTTGATTTTGTAGGACTAAATGGAAGTAGGGAATTTCTATACACTTATTTTCAGGTGTGCAGTTGTCATGGTGAGCCAGGTTCCACTAAGTCCCTCTGGTGTTGCCAATGGCTCTAACCAAAGCAAAGCCTTTGCTTAAATCAGCATTAGCTTTAGGAATAGAAGGCGAGACAGGAACACTTTCTCCCCTTGCTCATCGTTCTCTCCTCGCTATAGCATTTTCTATTTTGGCCTCAAGTTGGGAGGTGCCAGGTTTTGCTGGAAAGAGTCAAGCTGGAGAAAGCATACCGGCTGAAGTCAATGTCCAGTTCCACTATCAGCTAGCAGTCTGCCTTTGGAAAGTTCCTGTTCTTTCTCTTTAGACCTTTCTTCTTCTGTCTAGTGTGGGAGGTGGGCCTGGATTCCTGCAGTCCCCTCCAGTTCATACTTGCCATGATGAGTCAGCCTAACCACCCCCAGTGGCTATGCTGCAGGTCTCTCCACGGAAATCTGACCACGTGACTATTCCATGTGGCCTTAGGAGTAAGAAGAGCTGCTTGTCTTGTGGACGTGTTGCTTGCTTGGTCTAATCAAAGCATCAAGTTTTCTTTATGCGAGGCTTTTAAGTGAAAAATCTTTGGGATCTGTGGCAATGATACTTAAAATTTACTGTGCTTGGAAAGAACCCAGCCCTAGCATTTGAAAATAAATACAAAATAAATTAAGTGTGGTGGGGATCCTTCTTCTCCTTGAGCATAGAGCTCAGAGCACGGATGGGAGGGAAGAGTGCCTGGGTTGGCACACGGCCACACCCTCCCTACCCGGCTGTGCCCCAACATGCTACCCAATCTCTCCAAGCCTCACTCTCCTCCGGAAAACAGCAGTCATAAGAATACCCAGCGCACAGGGTCATCGTGAGGATGCAGTGCAATAATGCGCAAGCATGGTGAGGCCTCGAAGAAGTTTGGTAACTGTGACATGTTATGCTTGTATTCTAGCAGGTATTGCATTCTTTTGCAGCCATGTGTTCCTGTAGCTTCTCCAGCAGCGTGAGGGCAGGACTCTTTCTTCCTTCTCTTTCCATTCCCGGCATCTGGCAGAGTGCTGATGTCTTGCACATAGCACATTCTCAATAAGAGGATTTGATTAGTTAATGGAGTGAACATCAGTGTGGGTGGGACAGATGTAGGAAAAAATAAGGGGCCACAAATAATTTCACTTGCATCATAAAAGGAGAGAAAAGACCTGTGTTTTTCTAAAATGGAAGCTACTCTGGGGTTCATGGGAAAATGGATCAGATGGGGGCTGAGTGGAGGAGAAGAGAATGTAGATGTAAAACAATAGTTCTCAGCCCGGCTGCAGATTTAGAACCACCTGCAGAACTTACAAGTACCAAGGTCTGGGCCCCACCCCTCAGGGAGTCTTGCTTAATTGGCCTGGAGTGGGCCCAGATTTTTTTTTTTTTTTTTTAACTTCCCAGATGATTCTCTTGTATGGCCAGGGTTGAGAATGCTGATCTAAAAACCCGATTAAAGGACTTTATCATTTCTGAATGGGGTGTTACATTGAGGGAGGGGCACAGAAGGAGGAGTGAGGAGGGAAGGGCTAGTCTCTCACTGAGGCAGGCTGATGTTAATGCACAAAGAACGCCTCTGGGTAGCATAGCCAGGAATACCTATACCTTACTCTAGACCCCAGCCACCTCTCTCCTTGAGGGAACTAAAGTGGTACCCTCAACCTGGCAGCAAAGGAAAAGTACAGTGACATTATTAGCTGTGGCCTCGAGCCCTAAACAAACACAGTGCCAACCATTCTGCTGACCGAGTATAGCATAAAGAATATCTCTGTCCCCGGGTTGCTGGCCATGGTACCATCTTATCCAGCAGTTTCCCATCTTGGTTGCATGTTGAATCACCATGGGAGCTTTAAAACTTCCTGATGTCTGGGTACCACCCACAGACAGTCTCCTATTGCTGCTCTGGGTGTGGCCAATGACCAACAGTGATTTTTAAAGTTCTCCAGATCTAATGTGAGCCAAGATTAAGAGCCCTGGTCTAAGACCATCCAGACCATCACAGTTTCTAATGATGTACACTGAGCAAGTTCGTAAATACCTCACAGTAAGATTTTATATTTACATTTTTACAAGCCATTCAACAGTTCCATTAATAATCAATAATGAATATGTTGTAAAAAAGTAGGAACATGCATATTTTGAGCCTACTAAATGCCAGGCACTGTATGTACCTAATCTCACTAAGTCCTATGACACCCCAGAAGTCATTGTTGGGATTGTTTTTACCCAAGCTCAGAAAAGATGTGGAGCCCAGAGATGCACTGTTCATAGGGGGCAGAGCATGAATTCAAACCTAAGTCTGTCCTTTCCCAGAGCTTGCATGTGCTTTTCACCACAGCACATGACCTGAGTCCTTCCCTGCAGAGGCCATGTGTTCACGGAAGAGCTTATTTATTGGGTTTTATGAGTCAAGCCCTCTACTGGTGCTGAGGATGCAGAGACACATAAGACATGTGGCCCTGGCACCAGGGAGCCTGCATTCCTGCGAGAACAGGGACAAGTTAAGGAACCACCCCCAACGGGAAAGTTCTAAGGGAAGGATGGGTACAGAACCTTGTGGAACACATCAATACAGCTTGCCCTAAAGAGACTGACAAACTGTCTCCCTACTTGATGGAAAGAACACACATGTCTTGCTGCATTTCTGAGAGTCCCTAGGAAAACAGACTGAGAAGAGTAATGCGAACACAAGCAAACTATTTGCTGTTGATTGATGGGTATTTACCGGTTGATGGGGTTTGACTGGGACTCGTGTCGATGTGTGTGGGGGCAGTGGGAGGAAGGAGTGAGTTTCTCTCCTCCTAGGTGCCATTTCATGTTCCTCCCATTCACTCCATCCACAGCACGATGTGCGGTTGAGTGGACTAGGCATTGTCTTCCCCCATTTTATTTCCTGTGTTCATCTCCCAAAAAACAGTACCAAGAGAGGTAGATGCAAGCGAAGGGCTGGAGTCTCGGGGCAGGCTGGGAGCCGGTTGGGGATTGTGTCCTTAGCAGGTACCAGCCCCTTTGACGAGTTACCAGCTTAGAGGGCCCATTTACATGCCAGGTGGCCGAGGTGAGCCACGGGCTTCCCAGAGAAAGACACTTTCCCAAGCCCAGCATACTAAACACCAGAGGTGCATGCGGCATGAAAAGGAGCTAGAGAAAACCTGCATTGTGGCTGGAAGCAGGGAAGAGCTTCTACTCCCGCAGACGGATCTTAAATTACATTTCCAGAAAGTAAACATGGGAGTCAAGGGTCATCTCACTGTGCTGGGCGCTGCAGAGATAGAAATTTTTGTATTTCTTCTTATTTTTTATTTCAGTCAAGGAGATGCTCTACCTTATCCCCTTGGTAATTGAAAATAGGAACTGAAGGGAGCTGACTGCCAAAAGAACAAGCTGTTCTTCTCTGTCTCCCACAGATATTTCAGGAGATGGGATTTGGAATTATGAAACTGGTAGAAAAAAATAAACATGAAAAGATACTGAAATTATTACCATGTAACACCAGAAGTTTTTGCCACTCTTCCATATTGTCCTTATATAAAACACTATTTTTGCCTCTAGAAATGAATTTCCCTTTGCATGCGTACACTCTCCTTACACCACCCCCCCCCCCCACTGTATCCGGAAGGTGTGTTGGTGGTGGCGGTGATGAGTTTCTGATGATGTGAGTCAGAATGCTGGGGAAGTCTCCCAGAGGGGACTTATTTTTAGGTGACTATACATGAGATTGGCAGGCTCCTTGGGGTGTGATCCCCATGGAAGTACATTAGGCTTTGGGAATTTTAGTCCCACCCCCACTGATGGTTGGGTCCCTATTTGTCAGCATCAGGAGCACAGCTGCATTGGGTCATAGATGACAGGATGGAGAGCCAGGGAAAGGATCTGGACTGAACTGAGAAGCTGCAGAGCCAGGTGGAGTCATGGATCAGAAGGAGGCAAGCCATCCAGACTTAGGATTTTTATAAAGCTATGGGTCTGAGCAAGGTTGAATCAGTCAGAACCAAGAAACAATACAGGTTACAATTTGCATCAGGTTGGAGGCAGATAGCAACCAAGAGGGCACGAATGCAAGAAGGTAGGGAGTTGAGAGCTTAAGAGTCTGGAATCAGGACAGCCATGGGTCTGTGTGTATTATGTTACACGACAGAGACTCCACATACATTATCTCATTTAATCCTCCCAATGAGGTCCTGAACAGGCAGCTCACGAGGTAGGTAGGTATATAAAACCGTATTTCACATATGAGGAAATCGAAGCTTCTGACGGCTTAGATAACTTTCCCATGTCCAGGATTCTGACTCAGGGCTAGCTCCAAAGCTAGCACACTCTTCATGTAGCCTTCAAGAGCTAAGGTAGGAATCGAATTCAAGCCACTAGCAGACAAGAAGGCCTTTGATGACTAAGGCAGTCCCCTCACTCTGTGCCAGGGTTTAATGACCCTTCCTGAAACACAGATCTGTTTGAGGAAGGCTATTCTAGTCCTGCTGGTGATGAATGTATAAATAGGATCACCAGCTTGCTGGAGAGAAAAGTGTATGTGTGTCCATGCTTGTGTGTTGGGAGAGGTATATAGGAAAAGTAAGGAAGGGGTGCCTGGGTGGCACAGTTGGTTAAGCATCTGACTCTTGGTTTCATTTCAGGTCGTGATCTCAGGGTTGTGAGATTGAGTCCTGCATCGGGCTCCATGTTTAGCACGGAGTCTGCTTGAGATTCTCCCTCTCCCTCGGTCCCTCCCCCTGCTCTTTCTCTCTCTAAAATAAATAAGTCAATCTTTAAAAAAAGAAAAAGTAAGGCAGGTGGAGTGGGATGTGGACAAGGAATGGAGCCACAGCTTCTGCCTGGTGGGTATTGACTCGAGGTCCCATCACAGGTCAGACAGTTGGCAGTTTATTAATGCTGGGTGACGTATCCATAAACTTCGGGAACTCTTGTTAACTGGCTGACTGGGCTTATTCTTTGCTTTAAAAAAGCGGAAGGACAGTGAGCACACTCTTCTTGTGTGGGTGCAACTTTAACATGGCTTTTGTAAATGGAGAAGCACTCGGTACCCCTGTGCTATTGCTGGGTGCGTTTATCGGGTGCGTTTGCCTGTGCTGGAGAAACAGTATATGAGATAGCTCTAGCATGTAGTTCTAAGAGTTGCTTTTTTTTAGGGCGCCCAAGTAGTTGGCTAATAAAATCACCCCTGCCCAGAGACTCTCATCAGAACAAACTTGCCATCTAAGTATAAATTGCATCTGACCGGCTAAAAGAGTGTGCCTTTGGCAGAAGTTCCTGAGACAGGTTATTTTCGGTTTTGTTTTGTTTCCCAATATGATCCAGAGCCTTGCTTGTGAGTATTGTAGGTGTTAGCAAACCCCCCAGGAGGGACTGCCGAGCGCTTTCTTCTCTGGGGATGGACTCCCAGAGAACCACCTCACTCTGTAACACCAGCTGATAATAAGGAGCTGATCATCTGTTGAAATTCCCAGGAAAAGGATCAGATAATCCAAAAGCGGAGGCATGGTTTGGACACCCCAAACAGAAGCTTCAGAGAGGGATGTGTAAAGGCCAGGAGGGCGCTGCTCCTGGCTGTTGCTGAATTCCTGCTTTCTTGTGCGTATTCAAAGAAGTATGGTCTTTGTAGCACTACCTCATTTTTCCTTGTTTACTTTTTTCTTTAACCAGGAATTGAGTTAATCTGTGAGAAAGACATTGATCTGGCAGCCCAGGTACAAGAGCTACTGGAGTTTCTCCATGAGAAGCAACACGAATTGGAGCTCAACGCAGAGCAGACCCATAAGCGGCTGGAGCAGTGCCTCCAACTGAGGCACCTACAGGCCGAGGTCAAACAGGTGAGCCCGGCCCCTCCACCGCCCGCCCTCATTCTGGGCTCCCCCCCAGGCCCCGGGCCTGCTCCTGGTGTGGGGAAGGTGTACGGAGCCACCCTCGTCACCAGAACTTGGAAAACGGGTAAGCGAAGGAGTGGTTGTTGGGTTTCTGAAAGGGAGGTTGCTATCTGTCGCATCTGACAACTAGATCCGGTGGTACAAGGCGCAAACCACAAATGCGTTAGTTTTCTCTCCTAACAATGCAAGGAGAGCATTCCAAAGCTTTCCCAAGGTGTCCTGGGAGTCGCTGAGCCTGTTCTCTTCCTTTCTATCCTCCATCGTGACACACAGTTCATGTGATACGCAAATCTCTCATCGATAAACATGGTCGAGCTTTAGAGCCCAGTTAATGTGGGGCACCTGACCTCGTGCAGTGCCCGACACGTAGCTGATAGTAAATGGTAGCAGTTGCCCTCGTGCTCTTCAATATGCATGTGCAGCTTATAAGAAAATTGTCTTGCCCTATTAAAGTCAATTAAAAGAAGATTTCTTATCAGTATGAGATGTTATACTAGCCATTTTACCAAAGGACATAGCCAGGCCTCTAGGAACCTCTAGGAAAACACAGGAACCAATGACACATTTTAAAATACTATATATTTGTATTATGAACAGACTCAGTTTTAATTATCAGCATAATGAATGGAGATTTTTTTTTTATTTAGACAAAGTGGGATTGAAGAAATACAAATATATAATAATTTATTGAGTGCTGGGTACCTTTTACACTCATCTCTCCATCAATCCTCACAACCATTCTCTGAAGCAGATCTTATTCCCGATTTGCAGATGAGGCCACTGAAGCTTAGGTCACCAGACAAAGAGCATGTCACTGTGCTCCACTGGTCTAGGAGGGCTTCCCTGCAAGGGGGGGGGGGCACCTCCAGGCAATTCCGTGATAGTTCCTTCTGCTCCACATTCTTTCAAGCAATCCCAACCCCTGCTCCCTGAAGGCAGACCCCCACCCGAAATAACCTAAGCAGAGGACCTTCCTGTTAAGCATTTTTTCTTATGCACCATGGCTATTACACTGTCTTATTTAACTCTATTAATTTAGTACAGGGGACAAAAACACCATATTTTATTTAATCATTGCTGTTCTCTTATATTCAGAGTATTTCTTGTTAATGCCTGGGTCTTAGTTATTATATTGTTATTTATTATCATGGGCAAAATGGTCTTCTCTGCTCTGCTTCTCCCGAGCAGTGCTCATCCAGAGCCCTTACACACTATGCTGAAGATCTGTCCTCAGTGCAGGTGAAATCACTGAGCACCAAGGCAGGCTGGATCACAGGGCTGCCATCCAGATTGTTTTCTGTGTAATTACACTGGGATCACACCTGAGTCGCTGGAGAGACATGATGGAAATCCTAGCAGACCCAGAGCAGTGAGGATTACACAAATTCTGAGACTCTTGGTAATAATGATAGTACTTACTTTTCAGAGGAGAGGTTCTTTCTCATTTATAATCTCATTTTAAGAGAAGAGACCCATGGGGGAAAGGGGTGCATGTTTATTTTTTACAAGTGGGGGAAACTGAAGTAGCATAGGATTAGTGCTCCCAGGGCCTGTTGACTAGTTAGCTGAAACTTGAGCCCATGCTTCCTTTATCAACAGTCCCACGGTTTGCCTCTCCTGGGCCCCAGTCCTGCCCTAGGGCTCCAGGAAAAATAGAAAGAAGCCCTCTAGCAGAACGCAGTCTGGGATTTTCCTGGTCTTCACAGCACCACGTCTGAGAAGACAGGCCCACAGGGCCTGCATTTGGCACAGAGGGTGGCACCTACCCGACCGGTCAGCAGGCTCCAACAGGTCATGGGAACCCTCCACTCTTCATACACTGTTACTTCCACCAGCCAAAGGTGGCAGGAGAGATCATCTGAACAAAACAGATAACAGGAAAATCATTCCTATTTGTCTGTGAAATGAAATAGGTATTTTTGTTCCTGGTTTTTAATTGTATTTATTTTTTGTTCCAACATTAATAGTAGGGTCAACTCCCTAATTATGTTTTTCTTAACTGGTATGAAAATGGAAATGATTTTTTTATCCTTTGAGTATACATTCTGTATAGGATGGGGAGTTGACATGATGATAGGTAGTTTGTCAAATGGGGACATAGGTTGTCTGTATACGAATAATCCAGGCTAGAGGGATCTCTGGATACATTCCCATTCAGTATTTCTTGAGTTGGAGGACAAAAAACTTTTCTGCAGGAGAAAGTTGCTTCTCCCCGCCATGGTGAGGATGACACACATGCAACTGTAGTTCAAAAGCATACTGGATTGCTCAAGTCAGACTGCAGGAAACCCACAGTGGCCTTGGGAGGTGCCAAGGGATTGCTGCTTAGTTAAGCCACCATGCCTCATTAGGCGGACTTGTTTTCCTTGTCAGTGTAGGGCTCTTTGTTTTGGGAGTCGTCTGATCCAGTTTCAGAGAAGGCATTTGTGTTTGATGGAAGTTGGTGGAGCAGGAAATATTGATTTGGAAGCTGCTGACACTTGGAAAAAGGGAGTTAATTTAGATGTCGATATTGACCAGTGGAGATAAATTTAGACACAAGCTTGAGAGTTTCTCTTTTGAATATACTCAAAAGAAAAAGAAGAAGAAAAGGAAAGAAAAAGGACACCTTAATTGAAATGCCATTAATGGGGATGGAAAGGAAGAGAACAATGCACTGCTACACAGTTGGGTGTTAGAGCCCATAGATGAGAGGTTTAGATTTGGCCATCATAACCATAGTGTAGTTACATGACCATTATATTAAACTGAAGCTTTGAAGAGAGATGATGCCACAGCTGTCAGACTGAATATTATTGTCAGAGCTTGAGAACAAATGAAATTATTTAATGTGACTGCTGTTCTTTTGGGGTTACATGGGGCTCTGTATCTTAGATCGATGGCCCAGACACCTCTGGAGAAATGTTGACTCTTTAAGGGAATTCCCTCCCCTGACTACAGCCCATGGTCTGGGCCCTAGACCATTTAGATGCCCCCTTTCTTCTAGAAAAAGAGTTCAGATTACTCCCCAGCCCCACAGAATGTTCCGACTGCTTTCCAGGAAAATTACTACTCTGGCAAAGATGACCTCACATTTATTAAATAATCCAAGAAGATTTGAAAAACCTACTTAATTGGCAAAAAACTAAGTGAATTTCCATATGTGTTCCTGCAGAACAGGGCCTTTAGCAGAAAATAAGCCAAAATGGATTTGTAAGCTCTCGGGGCTCTAAGTATGGGAAAAGAAATCATACTTTTCTACTAAAGACATTGACTTAAATTACCCCTATGGACCAAATACTGGCCAAAATTTGCTTTTTATTAAAGTGAACAGTGAAAACAAAGGAGGAAATATTACCCTGTCAAGAATACTGCTGTGTTAATTGCACTACTGGGTATTTACCCCAAAGATACAAAAGTAGGGATCCGAAGGGGTACATGCACCCCGATGTTTATAGCAGCAATGTCCACAATAGCCAAACTGTGGAAAGAGCCAAGATGTCCATCGACAGATGAATGGATAAAGAAGATGTGGTATATATATACAATGGAATATTATGCAGCCATCAAAAGGAATGAGATCTTGCCATTTGCAACGACGTGGATGGAACTGGAGGGTATTATGTTGAGTGAAATAAGTCAAACAGAGAAAGACATGTATCATATGATCTCACTGATATGAGGAATTCTTAATTGCAGGAAACAAACTGAGGGTTGCTGGAGTGGGGGGTGGGGTGGGAGGGATGGGGTGACTGGGTGATAGACTCTGGGGAGGGTATGTGCTCTGGTAAGCGCTGTGAATTGTGCAAGACTGTTGAATCTCAGATCTGTACCTCTGAAACAAATAATGCAATATATGTTAAGAAAAAAAAAAAGAAGAAGAAGGTAGCGGGAGGGGAAGAATGAAGCAGGGGAAATCGGAGGGGTAGACGAACCATGAGAGACGATCGACTCTGAAAAACAAACTGAAGGTTCTAGAGGGGAGGGGGTTGGGAGGATGGGTTAGCCTGGTGGTGGGTATTGAGGAGGGCACATTCTGCATGGAGCACTGGGTGTTATGCACAAACAATGAATCATGGAACACTTCATCTAAAACTAATGATGTAATGTATGGGGATTAACATAAGAATAAAAAAAAATTAAAAAAAAAAAGAATACTGCTGTGTTCAGTTCTGTGCACTGTACGTAAAGGTAGAAAGGAATTGGGGTAGATCCAAGAGAGAGGAGACCAAAGGGATGAGCATTTGTTTCAAAATGGAGAAAATTAAGAAGACCCATGGTCACAGTCTATAAAACCATGATCACATGGAAGCATGATCACATATAATCTCATACACTGTGAACCTTTAGAGCTAAGAAATGCCGGAAATATGACAGGCTCCGAGCTACCATCTGAGGGGCCTGCCCTTTGTCCTGTGGCCAGACTTTCAGAAATGACTGTGCCTTGTGGTAAGTCATCAGCAACAGCAGGTCTTAAGAGTCAGAGGCCTCGAGGGCATCCTCAGAGCTTTATTGTCAGTGTGACCTAGAGAACACAGCCCTATACAAGCAGCTTCCCAGCCTACCGGTTACAGGGGACAGCTTACCTTGCTTAGACGGCATCATCATTTACAGACATCCACGTCCAGTTAACCAAATCCAGTCTTCTCACTGGGGTTTGCCTGCACTTCCTTGGCCTGAGGAAGCGGTAGATCCCCATTTTCAGTTCACCCTCTCAGCTCAGATTGAGCTGAATTCTTGGCCAGCTCCTGAGTCCCCTGAGCAGCAATCAGCAATACTCCTTGGGTCCCTCATTTTTATAGACCTGACTTTCTCTGGTTTCCTATGGTTGTAGGGCGAGTCCCTGAATTTTGAAAGAAGTGTGGAATGTGAGGATTCAAAGTGACCCTCAAAGGTCATCTCACCTATAGGTAAATTCTTGCCTAAGATAATTGATCAACATAAAATGCTCATATTATGCATTACATTTTATGGTTTGCAGAATACTTTTACATGATGTTTCTGAGACCACACAGGATTAGTAAAAACAACATTTTATCATTTTTATTGCAATATTTCTTCTACTCCCTTGCATTCATTTGGATGCTCATAGAATAAATAACCAGTTTTATGAATCAGGGAAATAAAGGACGACAAAAATAGAAAATTATACCAACAAAGGTTGTCACTGATCAGACAAGAGAGAATGGTGCTAACAAAACAGCTCGGGTTCCCACATCACATCAGAATATGGCAGTAAGCTCTACAGATACTGGAACAAAAATCAATAGCCTTTTTCCCTTCTCATTGTGAGAGGTATAAATGAAGAATCATAGCATTACCTAGCTTTGCTCCAAAACTAAAAATCACCACCTCCACTATCACCAGGCTTTACATCTTACCACATGTTGCATCCACCCTGCTGTAGGAAGGGAAGACACTATTATGCTAACTTTGCAGATGAGAAAACCGAGGCTCAGAGGGTTGAGTGGTTTTGCCAGGTAGTAAAAAAGCCAGGTGTTCTAACCTCAGATTTTGTATTTTTTTTCCTTCACTATCCCAGTCCGGCTTCTGGGACAGACTCAGTTATAGGAATCAGTCCCACCCCTGAACCTAAGCCATGGATATAAACGGGCATTTTTATCTTTCTAAAATCAAAACTCCTGCTTTAGAGACCTGGGATGCCTTTATAAACAGCATTTGGGAAATAAAAATGAACAAGGATATCAAGGATATGGCATGACTTAATGAAAGACGTAGAGACTGAAGCCTATGATATCTAAATGGGAAGCTAGTAAATGGAGATCCCCACCACCAGAGCTCTAACTGGTGTTTCCAGTTGGCTGAAACTAGAGAGGAACAGATGCTAGCAAGACTTAGGAAGCCCAGAGGGAGTCAAATTGCCCCTCAAACGTTGATTTGTGATGCACACGAAGTAAATGTTTCTCTGACACCCTCAAATGAATCTTGAACCAAGCAAAATGCAGTGAATCATGGCAGAAGGACTTGCATAGTTCAAAGTATACATTGTGAGCTCCATTTCCCAAAGAGCTGAAGCATTTGGGCATACAATCCATGTATGCATATACCCAAACTTACAGGCAGCTTTTGGAAATCATTAGCACCTCTATCCAGCCAGCCCCAGCACACCACTGGCATCAGAGATTTCACACATACATTCTGAGACGTTATATCTGCAACTAATTGCTTTACAGATTTGGCATCTCATCCACAATCTGCCAGACTGGCCATGAATTAACAGCTCAATCTGAATAGCCCAGCTTCAGCAGGATTTTTGCCCCCAGTGTTATCCATGTGCAATATGTCATCAGTCATATTCTGCCCAAGGAGGAAATTTGAGAAACGCCTATGAGGATTATGGGATAGGAGAGACCAGGCTTAGTGTTTTTCTAATTGTTTAGCATGAAGAAGTTGAGAGGAGAAAAAAAATCTGCAAAAATCTGAAACAGATTGTGGTATCTTCTCCTTTGCCTTGAAGTAACAGATGGATGATATTTACTAATCTTGAAATTTCAGAAGAATTTTTAATTCCTCTCCAAGCAAACTCTTAGACTCCCTAATAAAGAAAATATTTAGCAATTTTCTGGTGACCAGACACAAGGTGTATTTTCAAGGCCTGATTCTTCCAGTGTGATTATTTGCACTTGACTTGAGCTCTTAGCTAGAGAATTGCCGCATGCCCATTTCACCTAGGACTGTCTAGACAGTGTTAGCTGTTTCTCCTTCTATTCTAAGATTCCCTAGTTGAACTTTCTTACCCCCAGTACTAATTAAGGTCACCTAGAAATTTTACTTAGCCTAGCCATTGCCTCTAGATAATTTAAATCAATTATAACTTATTCTCCCATTTTCTAATGATCCAGTGTATGGATTACTTATGCTGTTTTACTTGTTTTCTTTCGCCTTCCTCCTCCCTTTGGGTTGTTTATCTGTCAGAGCTCAAACCTGTCTATTCTTAACTATTTTTGCAAGGCATAGGAGGTTGGACCCACTGTTCAGGTGCAATTTGGGTATTGTCTACAGATAATCGTTCCCTTTTTCAAAAACATTACTGCATACTCACCATTTGTAAGGCACCATGCTAAGCACTGTGTGAGACTAAAGCGTGACTCATCTACTGCCCTAGTCTTCCAGAAGTTTACATTTGGGGGGATGGGGTATGGTAGGATGTTGAAATGTAGGTTAAAACAACTGAACAAGGCAGTCTGTGGTGAGTGCCACAAAGGTGGTATGGTGTGGTTGTTCTAGATGAGGAGGATCTGTTTCTAACAGGAGTAATTGGGTTTGGAAGATTTCAAGTGGTTGGTATCTGAACTGGGCTTTTAAAGAAAGAAAAGAATGCCAATATATGGAATTTATTTACTTACACCATTCTACATTCTAGAGAGAACTTCAGAGATGTACATAAAATACGATCCTATAATGTTTAAATTAAATGGGTAAGGAAATTGGGACAGAGGGGTAATAAGGGTAGAAAAGAATATATGTGTCTAAGAATGAGGTTGATACTTACAATAAGCACCGTGTGGCACAAGGTGACAGGTAAGATGGCAGAGATGAACAATTTAATTATCCAGAGCCTTCCTGTCCTCTCTCTAAGTGAGGTCAGAAAAGACAGCAAGGTCTGACCTAAGGACCTGTCGGAGAAAGCAACAGCTCTGGGGAGGGTGCGAAGGCCGTTCATCTGTGTTCTTGTCCTGACTCCCCAGGTCCTGGGATGGATCCGCAATGGGGAGTCAATGCTCAACGCCAGCCTCGTCAATGCCAGCTCTTTGTCTGAAGCAGAACAGCTGCAGCGGGAACACGAGCAGTTCCAACTGGCAATCGAGGTAACACCCAAATCTGACTCCTCTGTCTTCCCTCCCCATTTCTGCTCTGCTCCTCAGACAGGTTGATTCCTCAAGATGTGAACATTCCTTTAGGTAGTGAAACCCTTACTCTTTCTAGTTAAATGGTCCAGGTAGCCTCCCTATTACCGAGTAACTGATGGGGAAGCAAATGCAGGGGTTCATCACCTAGTATGGAAGACAAGTGTTCACACGACAAATGTGCATCTTGGTCACTTATTGGTCCCTTTACCCGTAAGGCCTCTGGTACACTGAGTTTTTGTACATTATGGACTATACACCATGTGAGACATGTGAAGCCAAAAGGTTAGAAGTCACTTCCAGTTGAGGAGCCCTCAGAACTGAGGATAAACAAGTACAGAAGTCATTAGTACATTAGTATTCCATTTTAAAACATTTGATTTCTAAGTAATATTTAGATTTCATTGTCAGATTCTGCCTTCTAACAAGAACAATAAGCACAGGAGTAGTTGCACTAGATAGTTTGCTTCGCTGAAAGTAGTTGTTTAGTACCACCACCAAAAGAAGCCACATTTCAAGAGTAAACGGAAACCAGAAGTTCACCAACTGACACTTGTTCTAAAGACTATTTTAAAACAAAATTCCTCTTACAATAATCTAAATTTTGCCATCTTGCTTTAAATAATACCTTTAATTATCCTTTCTACTAGAACATTCTCCTTCCCAAAGAGACTTGAGCTGATTGCTTTAGAGTGGTATGGGGAAAAGAGCAGGAAATGGGACATGGGAACTATATTAAAAATAAAGTAAGATCAGTACCAATGGGAACAGAGAGAAACCTTCAAAGATATTCATTACTTGTGGTTCCGTTTAAAACTCAACCCACTTTTGAATGTATAAGAAATGCAAAGGTGTTATCTTCTACTAAAAGAATGATTGTTAAGGAGACTTTTCCACAACAATGATAAAGTTTTAACTGTTCGTGCCTATAAGTATATCTTTAATACAGTAATCAACTGATAACTAGCCATTTTTAAACTAGTACTGATTGATTTCAACCATTTAATTTTCTAGAAACCATCTTGTATGTGTAAACATAGCATTAACATAAATGACATGTTTCTATAAGATGCCTGCTGTCTTCTTAGGAAGCATTACTAATGGTAGTTTACTGTCTGGGATTTGAGATTTTAAAATAGACTATATATTGTACATACAGTGCGGGCAATCATTTTCTAAGGAGGAACTCAGCAGAGGAGAGAGTCTTTATTATCATCAGCTGCCTCTGTCTCAGTTTACTGGCATACACAAATATCAAAGTGTTAAGATCTATTCACCATCAAGGAAATATCAAGATTGGGGTCACAATGGAGAATCAGATACAGAGCGGTGAAAGCCCCATAGAGAGGCAGCATAGAGAGCCAGCATGAACAGAGGTTGGGCAGACAGACTAGGAGCGAGGCATGAAGCTGTGAGGGTGAGAGGCAGAGAAGACCACTGTTGGCCACACCTCCTCCTCGTTTATCTCAAATGTGAAGATTAACCTGCCCTATCAGGTAATTAACTTTCCTGTCCCATAAGCAAATGTTGAGCCAATAAAACCAGGTATCATGACATGCTAGAGCATTTCAACGAGCTAGTGGAAAACAGTGGGTGAATGCATTAGCAGTGCTAGTGCAATGATCAGATTCCGCCACTTGCATAAACGGTATATTAATTTGTAATAGTGCTGTTGTACCTGTACAGAATAGAAGCTTACTAAGCATGTATGTCTCCTAATTACATGGGTGCAACTTGGTCAAATATTCTTGGAATTGAAATTGAGATCCCATGAGGCCCCTGTGGAGTATATGTCTATGGTCTGAAGAGGAGATGGCAGAGCAGATAGGATTTCTGGAAGATCATGGGAATGGAGGGTAGGCAGCGTCTGCAGCATAGCTAAAGTAATGAATTTCAAATATGCTCCTTCTCCAGGTAGCCTTGTGCTTCTTTCTAAAAGCATTGGTTTAGACCAGGTTCTGCATCAAGGGGAAGATATGCCAGGGAAGATTTATGCAATTTGAAAGGGGATCTAACTAGTCTAGTTTGACTTGGCCCATTTTGATGGTAATTACTTACTGGATTCCAGTGATTGCTGATAGAGAACATAATTTGTCTTCTTGGACCCTAAGAAAGAATCCTGGGTTCCATAAGGGAAAACAAAATAGCTATGGGTAGGGTGACTAGATAATTTATTGTTAAAACTGAGATACTTCTAAGAGGGAAGAAGGGAACTATTAATAACTCAGCTAGAAAAATAGGCATATACTAGAACTATCATGGGCAGACTAGGATGTCTGCTCACCCTAGCTTGGGTGGCCTTATTGGTTTAAAGATTTTAGTCTCCCCAAAGAAGGTCAGAATTTTTACCTAAAGTACTCTGAGTTTTAGGAAAACAGAACCATTCAAAACAGAGAACAGCACACAGCACCCAGAAGCATAGCTTTATCAACAAACCCAAATTACTGTTTGTTAGTATGCAAAATGGTCTGGCTGATGTGTTTTCAAGAACGGTGACTATCATAGAGACAAGCTCAGTTTTGAAATCAATTTTATTTGAAATCCTCTTATGTAATTTAAGCATAAGCATTATGGCAGAGTAAGTAGTTAAAACTGGATAATAAATTCAATTGATTTGGTTCAATTTTCTTCCATGTACTCCTATGTTAAAATCATATAGTAACATCCTTGGTAATCCATGTCTTAAAGATATAACACTCAATAGGATTAGATAATAGTAGAAATAAATGCATAAGAATGACTCAAGCTTATCAAAGCAAAGATTATGTCATGTGCATAGGAGTTTGTCATTTGGAAATTAAAGGGGATGGAGTTCCAAGGACCATCAGATGATAATGAGTTTCAGAATAAGGAAGAGGATTTATTACATAGCCTAAATTATAGGACAATTAGAATTATTCCTTCACTCTCAGAGAAAAAGACATAATAATGGGGTTTTGATGACAATTATATGCTGGTTTCATATATTGAGGAGAAGCCAGTTAATTATCATAATCACTAATGTTCATTTGGTGAACCCTTCCTCTGCATGAAGCACTGTAGATACCATTCTAACTCTAGAGATAAAATAATGTGGTGTGATATGGTGGGAGTGAACATAGGAATAGTCAAACCTGAATCTTATTCCTAGTTTCATCACCTCGTTGGTTGTATGTTTTGGGGCAAGTCACTCAACCAGCCTGAGCCTCAGGTTTTTAATTTGTGAAGTGGGAATAATAATATCCACCTTGTCATGATGTCATAAGAACTAGAAAAAATATGCCTAAGCACAGTGCCTAGCACAGACTAGCACAAATGACAGTTGTTAAAGTGATTTCTAAAACAGTGCTTGCCTTGAGAGTTTCACAGTCTAAGTATGGAGAAGCAGCCAAATATATTAGATGGGTGATATAGGAGTTCAAAAAAGTAGTTTTTAGTGAGTCTCCGGCTGTCCAAAAAGATTTTTTTGTTGTTGTTGTTCACTAAAAGGTAGGAAGAATGAAGGTAGCAAAAATAAGAAAGCACAGAGTGTGTTTTCAGAGGGTTTTTGTAAGGAAGTAGTAGATGATAGATAATGTTATGGAAGTAGTTCAAGACTACATTGGGAGGAGCTTTTAAGGACATCCTTCGAAGTTGGGACTTAATTTCATAGCAGTGGGAGAACCACTGAAGGCTTTTGCATGGAGAGAGGGGAATGATAATTATAGCATAAAATTAGAGTTTTAGAGCCAGAAGAACATTAGGAGTCACTTCATCCAAGCACTTGCTATTACAGAGAACCAAATTGATCTATTGGAAATGTAAGGGATGGGTTTGATGGATTAGAAATGGAAAGCAAGGAGGCTAACTATAGGACCACCGCGGCGGTCTAGGCATGCAGTGGGTTGGACTGGGACTTGGGGTGAGGAACAGCAGTCAGGAATGATGTCAAGATTGTAAACCCAGGTGACAACAAGGAGGGCACCATCAATACAAATGGTAGACTGCCGTGGGAAGATACTTCCAGAGGGAGGGATTTCGTTTTAGATGTGGACGTGAGAAAATGTCCAGGAGGAAGCTGGAGGCTCTAATAGGGCAGTCAAGCCATTTGCATTCACTGACGAGCATTCCTCCTCTCCCCAGGAAGACCTCTCACTTCTTTTGCTAAGAATGCATCATTGTAAGTGGCTAACATGGGGCAGGCAGCTAGAGCAACCGAATCAGTGCTGCTGACCTCGAGTGGGAAGTATGGCAGGCAGCTCACCCTCACACCCAAAGACAATTAAAGATGAGGGTCCGCGATGTAGCATGAGAGACGAATCCTGGGCATCATCTACAAAAAGGAAGTAATAGCAGCCATGGGAATAGATAAGAGTTCTGCAGAAGTGAACACACACCAAGGGTGCACCTTGGGGTACCCCTGTATTTAGGATACAGGAAAAGAAAATGGTGCCAATAAGTAAAACAGAGAAAGAAATCAGGGATTTGTAGAGGATCATTTCTGACCCTCAGTTTACTTTTTCTTGCCATGTTCAACATTTGGAACTCAAATTCTGATATGGTCATCACAATTGAGGGCTAACTTAGTGGCCAAGCAAGGGAATAAAGGAGTCTAGGTTGCTAGAGGCTGTCATGCTAACAACGAACACTGAGTACAAATTCCAGAGACGGGGAAGGGAAGCCAGGAGATGGGTGATAGACGGGGGGAAATAAATAGGACTGTGCAGACTGTAGTCTGGGATGGGATGAAGGGGGCCAGGTGATGTAGGGGTGAAAAGAAGGGAGTGCAGAATGGGTCAGCTCTTGGGAACTGTCCCGGCACCATATATATTTATATATATATACATATATACATATGTATATAGTCCTAAAGGCAAACATAAGTAATGTAATAATGTAGGGATTACATGTTGAGCTGAATTATCTACTATACTGCTTTGTTCCCTTCGTGGGGTAGCTAAGGGATGGTGAGATGCTACTCTTAGGCTTTATTAATCTGCCAAATTTATTCCTTCCACTGGAATCCTTTTCAACTAATGTTTAAAATGATTGTGTTGTTGGCTGAGCCTTGTATTATGTGGAGATTTTTTTCTTATGTACTGTGTTTATTTAACCTGTCAAGTGGGGCTCAGCAGTAACCTCCTTGAAAACTCACCACAGTGAACAATTTTATGATTAGATTTGAAAAGAAAAATTCGCTAATGTCTGAACCAGTCAGGGAGCAGATGTATACAGAAATGCGGTTTCTCTGCCGCAGAAACTGAGATGTCTTTAGAACCAGGGATGCAAGTAGGGGAGTGGGGGCCGGAGTTAGGGTCCTGAGCATTCGGTTAATGAAAATGCATGATGTTCTTTTTTTTAAAATGTGCTTTAAGATCAATGATGTTTTAATCATCATGACAAAATGTTTGAATCCACCATTTAAAGCTCTTTAACTTTTCTGCATCTTTCCACTCACGCCTCACTCCACCCCCTCCCGTACCACGCCTGGGTCGTTCCCACGGACCTCTCTCTCCTCCCCTTGTGCCCAGTCCCTCTTTCATGCCACTTCCTTGCAGAAGACGCACCAGAGTGCCCTGCAGGTACAGCAGAAAGCTGAGGCACTGCTCCAGGCCGGCCACTATGACGCCGACGCCATCCGGGAATGTGCCGAGAAGGTGGCCCTCCACTGGCAGCAGCTCATGCTGAAGATGGAAGACCGGCTAAAACTAGTCAATGCCTCTGTGGCATTTTATAAAACTTCTGAACAGGTGAGGGAAGGGCTGTGGGATATGGGGGACTAATGTCAATGCAGGGTTGTTTTTTCCCTTCATCCTGCAAATCTGTAGTATCTCCCTCAAGAAGAAGCTAGTCCTCCCAATACTAGCCTTTGAGAGTAGAGTAATGATGTGGAAATAACTACAGTTAGCCTCCTTATAATATTTTCCATTAAAGAAGTGAACCGTGTGATTTGTTTCTTGTAAAATCTCAAACTCATCAGATCTAGGTGTTGAAGGAGAAATTAGGTGTATCCTGAATACTAGATTTGAGGGCTGTATCAGTCAGTTACTACCACAATAATGCTGTATAACAAACTACCCCACAACTCAGTGGCATAAAACAATAAGCATTTTGTTTTTAAGTATTTGAGTTCAGCTGATCTTGGCTGAGTTTGGTAGAACTGGACTCCAAGCTGGAGATCTGGTCTAGATCTGCTTTCATGTCTCTCAGTCTCCTGGATCAGTAGCTACTTGAGGCAAATTTATGGTGAAAAGCAGGAGTGCAAGAGCCCAAAATCTACTGTGCCCCAAATCTCAAGTCTCTGCTTACGTCACATGCTCTAACATCCTTTTGGCCAAAACAAGTCACACGGCCAAGCCAACATCAGTGAGGTAGGGAAGTCTATGCCTCCAGTGAAGGTCAGGAGAGTAGGGTGACAATCTGTTGGACATAATCTAATGTGCCACAGTCAGGCACTAGGCTTGGAAAACACACAGCTCTTTTACTCATGGGGCTCTCCGTCTGGTGGAGGAAACACAGCTGTCTGTCCCTAGTAGACTATGAGCCTAGCTGGTAGGATGGTGCAGCTGTGGGAGAAAAGGCAGGAGATATGTACAGCAGGATGACAAGGATTTAGACCCCTTACTTTCCCATCTGTACAGCAATATGCACAAGGGCTAAGAGGATTTCTTACTGATTTGGGTGCTTTCAGGGAATTCTTTCATGAAATAGAGGTTTAAAACAGAAGTAATTTTACTCAATGTAAAATACTTTCCTCCTTGGAATTGCTCCCTGGTAGAAATAGATCAGAGAAACATTCTCCTCTGGGTGACTTACAGGGGCCATGGGAAAGTCTATCTGAAAGTAAATAAAACATGCCTGTCAGAGGGCCCTGTGGCCTCCACACCTTCTCTCCGTTCTCCTTTCTGTTGTTTCAGAGTGATGGTGCCTTTGATGGCCCCAGAGTTGGGAGCAGCAGACTAAGGTGATTTATAGATTCAACGCAATCCCAGTCAAAACCCAGCAAACTTTTTTGTAAAAATTGATATGCTGATTGTAAGATATATATGGAAATACAAAGAATAGCCAAACAATCTCAAAAAGAAAAACAAAGTTGGAGGAGTTACACTACCTGATTTTAAGACTTACTCTAAAGCTACAGTGATCAAGACAGAATGGTGTTGGTGTAAGAATAGACACAAGGAAAAAGAATAGAGATTCCAGAAGTAGACCCACAAATATGCAGTTGATTTTTGACAAAACAATTCAAAAGCGAAGTCTTCAACAAATGATGCCAGACGACTAAATATAGGCTTCCCCTGCTATCTGAAAGTAGAGTGTTCTTATGAAAACTTTTGTAAGCTGAGATCAGATGTAAAGAAGCAATGACCACTGACTTATATGGAAAAAATTTTTGAATATTCCCAGATCCAAAAAGTAACCTCTTTTAGGCCTTTCTGAAATCTTAGGGACACATCTTGCTAACGGATGCACAGAATAAGTCGAGATAAAGCACGGATGGTCATAGACACAGTTCAGAGCTGAGGCAGCTGGATGCTGAGATGCTGGGTTTAGTTCCCAGGGACGGAGCTTGGGGGTCACTCTCACTGCTTGGGGTGCACACTGCCTCTGGGACAGCTCCGCAGCTCACTGCAGAACAAACGCTAAACACTCTTTTCACTTTTTACCTTTTTTCATAAAAGTGAAAACCCTCCTCGTATCTCTTTCAGTTAGCAAAAAACAGGTATTAATGTAGGTCTTTCAAAAAAGTGAGGTGCTGGGCGCCTGGGTGGCTCAGTTGGTTAAGCGACTGCCTTCGGCTCGGGTCATGATCCTGGATTCCCAGGATCGAGTCCCGCATCGGGCTCCCTGCTCGGCAGGGAGTCTGCTTCTCCCTCTGACCCTCCTCCCTCTCATGCTCTCTGTCTCTCATTCTCTGTCTCAAATAAATAAATAAAATTTAAAAAAAAAAAAGTGAGGTGCTTGTGAAAAGCAGGGAATACCTGTATCCAGATTTTTTTTTAAATGAGGTTTAATCCTTGTGTAGTATCATACACAAATTTTAGTTTTTGATGGGTCTAGAAGAGGACAAAGCACTACATTAAAGAATCAGGAAATTTGACCCCAAACTGACCTTGCCAAAGGTCACCTCTCTGGATTTGTTTCTTTACCTGCTAAATTAAAGGATTTATGCTTGATAATCTTTTCATTTCTTCTAGTTCCCAAGTTGATTTTAGTCCAGTATTATCATGGTATATAATTATGTCTTTTCTTAAAGTTTTTGCTTGTCTATAATCCATTTTCTCTCAAGATGTGGGCCCTCCTACACATGTTCATGCCTTGCAGGAGGAGAGGTGTGTGGTGCTAGAGGAGTCAGAATTCAGGGACAGGCCTTCTCATGACATGGGGAGCATGTTGGCTACAAGGGTATGCTGCTTGGGACATCTTTCAGCTCAGTTCATCACTCAGTAAACATCCTATCCAACACCACACTCTTCAGCAAAAGGGATGACTTTCTCAGGCAAAGGGGACCCAGGATATTGTAGCTGTCCCCCTCCCAACCCCCCCCCCTGGCTGCCATATCCAAGCATTCAGAGCCTATTGAAGGAAAGTATAGGGATATGAGTTTCTATTTTCTGCACCTTTCCCTAGGCCTTGACACAAGACTGCCCTGCATCCCCTTCTGTTACACCCAACCTAACTTCCATCCAAGTCCCATTCAAAATGCTTTTGCTTTTAAAGCATGGCTTCTTAGCACTTGGAGAGCAACTATTTTTTAAGTTAACCCAAATTTATTATCCTCTGAAGAAAATGTCTGTTTTGTAATAGAAGGCCTGAAGATGTCATTGCCTTATAACAATAGTTCTAGACAATTTTTGCTGGGATATTTTTGCCAAGGGAGGAGAAAGAAATTCACTGATGGCCCACGAGTCCCACAACACAAGCCGCTTCCTCCTTCACTTCTGTTGAGGGCTACTTCCTATAGGGCAAGTGACGATGGTTGGGCAAGCCTAGTATCTTCTCTAAACTTCATTTTCCTGCTCTGCCACATTCACAGAATTATCATAAGGTTCCAGTGATAGAATATATAAAAATCACTTTGAAACCCCCGAAATTACTGGTCTTTCTTCCTTTCTTACTCTATATACTATCCCTAAGTGATGTCAGCCTTCAGCCAACGACTGTCAGAAGATGATTCCAAAATCCATCTCTCACTCCTAATCTGTCTCCCGAGCTCCACTGCATCGTGGACTTCCCTTCCATGTCCCAGGGGCACTGCATGTTCTAAATCTACAGACTGAGCTTCAAATGAAACGTGTCACCTGTGCAGGGTTCTGTCAGCTGAAGGTGCTCAGAAAACACTTCCCTGATCTATTAATTTACTGAGCCTTTCCTCTGTGGTTCATTAGGTCTGTAGTGTCCTGGAGAGTTTAGAGCAAGAATACCGGAGAGACGAGGACTGGTGTGGTGGACGAGATAAACTGGGGCCAGCAGCCGAGATCGACCATGTCATCCCACTCATCAGCAAACATTTGGAACAAAAGGAGGCCTTTCTTAAGGTCAGAGCACACTGTCAATCCAAGGTCACACACACACACATATGCTTCATCATATGGGCTTTCCATCCGCCTGTTTTTCCTCATTTCTTATCTAAAGGGAGGCATTTATAGAGATGATATTGGCTAGTGAATTTGAAAGGTTGAAAAGTTATGCTTCCAACGTTATTTATTTCTCTCAGCACTTTCTATATAATTAGACAGTTATATACCATTCCTGCAGGGGCCATGTTCAAATATCTTAATATCCCATTGATGTTGGTAATTGAGAAAAACACATAGTTTCACCCAGTTATGTTTGGTTTATGAAAATATTTTCAATTGAAATATATAAGCCTTGGGGGCACCTGGCTGGCTCAGTCAGTAGAGCATGCAAACTCTTGATCTCAGGGTCATGAGTTCGAGCCCCCACGTTGGGTGTAGGGATAACTTAAAATAAATAAATTTATATATATATATATATATATATGTCTAGATATAAAGCAGTATTAAAATAAATATTTTATAAATGGATGATGCAAAATTTAGGGCAAAAATTAAATAAATTTAGACACCTTATTTATTTGCCAATCTAACAATTATCAATAACCAATAGCTGTAACACCATTTATTCTGTTGCATGAAGAGAAAAATACCTCATTTTGTTTCTTTTGTTCTTAATAGAGCCCCGGCTTCTCAGGGAAGAAGCACAGTCCTGCTCTGAGCAGGCTTTCAGCTAGTGTGGAAAGTCCTAGTAAGCCTCTTTCTGCCAGCCTTTGATCATCTCTCTGACAGATTCGTCTGTGTTAAAACTTATCTAAAGGCTCTGTTTACTCTCAAATTTCTTGCTTTCATGTTCTGCTTCCTTTCAGGTTTCTGAGAGTACAAAGAGAATTTTTATACCCTGACATGTTGCCACTGCTTTTCTATAACTCTGTAATTAACTGACTTTCTTTTATTAGGGATTTTCTCTACTTGACCACCCCTTTGAGTTTCACTTTTTTTCCCTGTCACCCTCTCTTTTTGAGATGGCTTCTCCCTACCCTCCTCCTATCTATCAGGTGTCTGCACCTGCACTCAATCAAAACCCTTAGTAATCAGCTCTTACCAATAAGATTAAATAAAAAGGCTTTATACCGGGCTTAAGAGATTTTAAAAGTCTTCAGTACCATAAAACAAAGTTTAAAACAATGACTGAAAGAGAGCATATGACTTTTAAAAGACGTATAAAGATACTACTTCATAAACTTACATGTTTCTTTTGAAGAATGAAAGAAGAAAATGTTCTGGTCTAATGTTTTCTGTACATGCCTAAAATCATAGGTGAGAAACTCTCTGTTGCTGTGGGAATTAAATGCCCGATGGATGGAACACTGAGTTCTCCATTTAAATGTATTAGTTGATCTATGTTGGATACCTTAGCTTTGGAGCACCATCCACGTGCTCGCTTCGGCAGCACATATACTAAAATTGGACCACCATCCAGCTGTTAAGTTCATGGACCTCATAATAGATGGACCCACCCAACAGTCTTTTACCAGAGCTCCCAGAAACCCCTATTGTTAATGCAAAACTTAAAATAATTTTTTACTATATAATTTATAGAATCAGTTGTTAAACATAAAAAGGTGTTAAAGTTTGACAGTTTGGTCTAGATAATATTGGAAACTGTAGATTAAAAATTATTGGACTAGGGTAAATAGCAGTCCCCGTTATCGATGAGGAATATGTTCCAAGACCCCCAGCGGATGCCTGAATCTGCGAATAGTGTTGAACTCTATATATACCATGCTTTTCCCTACTCATATACACCTATGATAAAGTTTAGTTCATAAATAAGTCGCAGTAAGAGATGAACAACTGATAATAGATAACTGATAAATAAAGAGAACAACTATGACAATATACTGCAATAACAGTTATGTGAGTATGGTCTGTCCCTCAAAATAACCTCACTGGACTGTCCTCATCCTTCCTGTGATGGTGTCAGATGATAAAATGCCTGCGTGGCGAGACGAAGTGAGGGGAATGGCGTAGGCACTGTGATGTAGCAATAAGCTACTTACTGGCCTGACAATACATCAGGAGGACCACCTGCTTCGGGACTGCAGTGGATTGTGGGTAACGGACACTGCAGAGATGAAAACCATGGATAAGGGGAGACTTATACTGTCTCCAGACTCATACAACAGAAAAAATTCTGCTCTTTAAAGAAATTCAGAAATTCTGTGGTCTTGAGAAACTAGAAATACTCTGTCCATAGTCCTAGATTCCAGCCCAGGTGTGCTTCATGATTGCTGCCCTTTCTGGGCCTGGCTCTCCTCCGTGGGCACAAGGAGAGTGTGACCTGTCCTCTCTGCCACCCACAGCTAGTGGGAGGCATAAAGAGGGTAGTGTAAGGGCTCTTATTCCTGTGTGTGGATCCGATATTTTCCAGCAGCAGGATATTAGTGTTATTGAGGTGGGGGTGGATTTTAAGGACAGGTAAGTTTTTTAAATGTGGGTGACTTCCATTTAGATAGGGAATGTATGGTTAATAGGCTTGTTTACCAAATTTGCTTTCTCGAGTCTAAATTAAACAAATATGAAAGTGGCTTACTCCCGTCGTCCTCTAAGAGGCATTCTGGTGACAGAGGAAAGCCAGCCTGAGACGTTAGTACCTATGACATTAGTCATACTGAATCAGCAGAGAGGTAGTCAAGGGATGGCTGCATTCTGATTTTTCTCTGGGATGGGAAGGAGAGAGGCCCAAGGAGTAATTCTTTACACCACAAAAGGGTGAGCCTCCCGCACTGAAATGGGAGCGTCTGTGAACCAGAAGTGGCCTCCGGGGCTCTGCTCACCCAGAGCTCCAGAAGTTTCTCCACCGACACCCCTTCCACAGGGTCTCAGAGCCCATGGCCCTGCTGCGGTCCTCACACCTCGGTCTCTTTCAGGCCTGTACCCTGGCACGGCGGAACGCGGAGGTGTTCCTCAAGTACATCCACAGGAACAACGTTAGCATGCCCAGTGCCGCCGGCCACACCCGGGGACCTGAGCAGCAGGTGAAAGGTCAGTGCGGGCGTCCGACCGCGAGCCGCGTCAGCAGCACAGACCCGATGCTGCACACCTGGTCGCTATGCGCTCCCGCATCTCCTGCTGCTTCTCCTCCAATAAGAAGACATTCGATGTGGGGTGGCATGGGCAATGTTTAAACGTGCATCGGGATTGGGAAAAGGAAAATGAAGACAAAATTTCCCTAGCACTTTTTCGTTCATCTCGATCTTAGAGCAGCACTTAACAGGATTTTCTGAAGGAACAGACATGGTCTTATATCTACACGGTGCATATAGAAGCCACTAGTCGAGTGGGCGCAGAGCACTTGACTCATGTGGCTGATGCAACTGAAGAACTGAACTTTTCCTTCTATTGGATATTAATTAGTTTAAATGTAAGTAGCCAGATGTGCTAACGTATTAAGAAGCACAGACTAGGCTATCTTACAGCCTGGAAACGAGACACAGACTGAGAATCGTAAAACCAAGTTCTATTACATTTTTACTTACTGTGTGAGCTTTTAAAACTTCAGTTCTCTTACTTTAAAATGAAGGGCGTCTGAACTCTTGCTCATGAAAATGTGGCCCCCGGACTAGCAGCCCTGGCATCACCTGGGAGTGTGTAAGAAACAGGACCTCAGGCCCTGCCTTAGACCTACTGAATTAGAAGCTGCATTTTGGCAAGAGCTCCTGCCAACCCCAACCGGATGATTTGTGCGCACATAAAATTTAGCTAAGTACTGGTCTAGAAGTCTTTAATCTCTCTCTGAATTCTATAAAGTGTACAATTACATGAAAAAATCAGTAACCTTTAATAATTGCTTATTAGATGACCACATTAAGCTTAAATTATCGGTGGTATCACTTATGCTGGACCATGCAGAAATTAGCCTTTGAGTGGGTGAGGAATTTTTTTTTTAAGATTTTATTTATTTATTTGACAGAGACAGAGACAGCGAGAGCAGGAACACAAGCAGGGGGAGTGGGAGAGGGAGAAGCAGG